AATATATAATAAGTATATGAAACATAAAGTACAAACTTACCAAGAATCTAAAAATACATACATCAGAGTGTCCGTTGCTGCACACAATGTCCCAGTGAAAATATATCCCAGTTGTATCTCAATGATGCTCATACGACAAAGTATATTTTATGCATCGAATTGACAGGGTATTTATACAGTATTATAAATCTAGAATATTCTAGAAATTGTTAAAACATGATATTACTGGAACAATCTGGACATACACAAAATTTAAGAATGTTCTAGATCAAATGACCGAACATGTTGACCACTCTGGAATGTTCAAGAAACTAAATGTTACTAATAATATACAAGATGAAACAATACAAATACAACACATCACACAACACAAAAGAAATGTACAACAATGATTTCAATTATTTAAGAATTAACATTATTTTTATTGAAAAGTATTTTTTTATTATTTTTCAACCAATTTTTCCCTTTGATAAATCTTGAACATGCTTATTAACAAATATCAAACTTCAAAAAAGTTACACTGCTTTTCGTGCAATTACAAAAATAATTTCATTATCAGGGTAAGAAAGACATGCTGCAGTGGATACAGATGGAACGAGGAAGTGTTTGATTGCATACGTTTGTATATTTTTATCATTGTGATAATTAAAAAAAAATCATCTCACGAATCATGTGAATTGAAATCATTAGCTTACTCTATGTTTACGTTTCTACTCGTAACTTGCATGAAGGGCTATTTTAGTAAGGGTTACATATCTACGTGTCCTCCACCAGAATTTGGCTTGTGGTTCCAGTCCCTATGATATTGTTTTGTTAAAAAAAGTTGTTTTATCAATAACTTGATTGCCTTCTGTAAAATCAAAATTGATCAAAAAAACCCTTTAACTTGCTATCGTTAATTATACGAGGGGTTCTCAAAAAGTTCGTGGACTGAGGCTATAAAATTAGTACTATTTAGTCTGTGCTTTCAAAATTCATAAGCAACATAAACAACAAAAAGTAAAGAAATGTTGAAAATTTTAGCTTGAAACGTTTATTATTTGCCAAATTATTATAAAATAAAAACGACATTATATGATCGCCCGGCGCCGTCGCCGTTTAGTTTCATGACGTCCGACAACGTCATTGTTCTTCAGTGTCCGCTTCTTCTACCTTGTACACTTATTTTGATGAGATTCCCTATAGCTGAGTAAGGACTTAATCCCGCATTGTTTATATGACTCAGTTTAAGATGTCATGAGCAGCGGCTTTCAATGACTATAATATTCCAAATGAATTTATAAAATTGGAGATATCTTCACTTGATTAATTGTGTCTGAATATTTTGCTTTTGGGATTTCAATATCTGAAACACATGATGAACGAAATTTTTTGACGTGATTGATTTTTCACATCGAGACTACTAATCGACATTAACGGAGCATCCTTATTCTATCCAAATCTATTTTGACATTAAATGACAAGTACTCCGGATGCATATTATTTCTCTGTAGCCAATTTAAACATTTCTTCGGTCTTTTTAAGTTTTTTCAGGGGCAAAACCTTATAGAAAGTTGGAAAAGGAAACCCCTCCCCCCTTTTGACGTCATTTTCAATGCCTTATTTGCTTGACACTCCATGTAAAATTTACGATAAAATTTCGTAGAACTTCCAGAATGAAGTAAAAATTTCATATTTTATGTAACAATTGTGTCCCAAAACATACTTGAATTAACGGGATTTTTGGATGTCAAATATTCCTATTAAATGAGTTTTTTTTCAGTTACACTTAGGTCGCAAAAACGTCGTTTTCAAGGTTGCGCCGCCTGGACATTCCATTGCTTACAAAAACATTACTTATTTATTTAATAAATAAAATTTATGATTAATTGATTATTCTTTAGACAGAAAACATATTTAATAGATATTTAAAAATCCATTGATGTACCTGCGCTTGTCCACGAGCTTTATGATAACCCCTAGTACATGTAGTTTAACATAGTTACAAAATTCTAACTATAGTTAATCAAGGGTTTTACCATAGTATATCAAAGTATTGTCAATATGGAATTTAGATTGGTAAACCTATTTTAAATGTTTTCCAATTTTTAAGGATTTTTTGAATATTAAATGGAATCATGATTTGTAAATTTAGGTATTATTTCAAACATTTTTGTCGTATTTATAAGATTTTCAATGATGGAATCTTAGGAAAAAAAACACAACGAAGTTTCATAGTAAATCAAATTATTAAAGTTAAAACTATATTTAAACAGATTAAACTACATGTACAGAGGTCGTTCCAAAAGTTAATGGACGGATACGATACAATTAATAATATAATGCTATGTAGTCTAGATCTATGCTTGCAAAATTTTTAAGGAACATAAAACAACAAAAGTTTTAGAGGTGTTGAAGATTTTAGCTTGATACCTTGAATATTTACTAAATTTTTATAAAATGTAAATGACATTCTACATGATCACCCGGCGCTGTCGCCATTTCGTTTCATGATATCTTTGTTTTTCAATGTCTGCATTCTCTTACTCATACACTTAATTTGATGAGTTTGATTGGAATTAAAATTATAAACACGTCTTGTTTACCGGTATATGATTTCAAAATGCCAAGAACAGCTTAATTCAATGCATATAATATTGTAAAAAGATCTAAAAGATCATCAATTGTTGATAATAGCATATTTGCTTGTCGGAGTTCAAGATCTATCACATATGATCAACACCACTTTCCAACGTGACAAACTTTGAACCCCCTTACATGTACTACATATCGACATTATTATTTTTTTATTAACATTTTTCGTCTCTCTTTTTTTTTCGGCGTTTTGAAACATGCACTCAGAATGCACTCAGAATGCATTTTATTTTTTAGTAGTCTTCTAAACATTTTCTAGGTCTATGCGAGTTTTTCCAGAGGGTGAAACTTACCGTTGAAAGACTTAGAAAAGAAACCTGACCCCCTTTTTGACGCCGTTACAACATTTAGATTGTTAGGACATTTCAAATCATATTAACGTTAATTTTTTATAGAACTTACAGAATCGCCTAAATATTGCAAATTTTACGATACAAGTTTGACATACTACATGGCTACTTAACGGGATTTTTTTTTATTTGGAACAGAATTTACGAGAAGAGTATATTTCTAGCTATTGTAAGCATTTTGGGCAAAATTATAATCAATTCTAAAACAACATAAACTCGCTCCAAGCACTGTTTTGATAGATTAAAAAAACATATTTTGAAGATTCAATCCTTTTTTTCTTTAAAAAAAAGTATACAAGTATACGCTTGCACTATCTTTATTTTTGTCAATTCAGCTTAACAATTCTATTTTTATAATAGTCATGTTACAAACAGCTGATACATGCGATATAACTGGTACTGTGGACGGCTCAGCACCACGCAATTTCTACCTGTGTCAAATTCAATTACTTTGTTTCAATTTAAAAAAACACATATTGAAAGGGTGCTAAGATCACATTATCCATTTCTGTCCTTAACATAGGTGAGAGGTGTGAACCTGGGAAGTACGGTAATGATTGTGAGAACATTTGCCAATACCCTAGCTACGAAGAAGGATGCCAACAACATTGCAGTTGTTTCAAAGAACACTGTAATCCATCTAGAGGATGTATAGGTAAATCTATACCAAAACTTAACATTTCTTATACAATACCAAACTACCTAGCCTTCAATTTGCTTCTGAGTATACGCTCAGTTAGTATTTTGTTTCATTTCGGGGAATTATTACCCGGGGAAGTATTATCTACTATTATATTACCGTATTAGTAGAAATTTTAGCGAGACGAATGTTTAACGATTTGGCCTTAAGAAATGGTAATCTATTTTAAGCTATATGTAAATTTAGCGATATCAAAATGCTAACCAAAGAAACTACAATAAATGAAACGCAATTATTTTTGGCGGTATCCAATTTTAGCGATTTTAAAATCAACGCGTTTTTTGCCAAAATTGAATCCTTGTTGTGAATCTACTCACACTTCTTTTTAAGAATATAATAGAAACTTGAAGTTATAACATGTATTTCTTTTTCTTGAAAGTCAAAAGTACATAATATGTGTGCCTTGAATTTTATGAATAGAATTGTCTTCTACTCATCCTGCCTTATCAGATGGAGTATCAAGTTCGTTGACGCTAACAGAAACATCAACTGTATCAAAAAGAGTTACAGATCATTCTAGTCTGAAAACAATCAAAAGAGGTATATTCATTCTATACAAAGTATATTTCAAGAAATAATTGTATAGGACTTTTACAAGTAGCGCTCACTTTTACAGTTGACATCTTACTTTAACACTAGAATAATGTACTGAAGCTTTTTACGATAAAATATTTAGCTTAACATTTAATTCAACGAAAAATAACGGGTTATTTCAAAACGTAAATCAGTTGTTCTTAAAGAAATCGACAATTGCAACCACCCTACCCTCAACTCCCGGTCTTCACATGGTAGTGCCCCTAACAACATTAAAAAGAAGTGTAAGTAGAATTCACAACAATATTCGGGGCACTACCTATGACCACTAGAAATGTGTCCCTATCTATTATCAATTCCGTACCTCGATACAAAATGCAGGTTTAAATGTCAAGTAAACCGTCAGTTGTGAAAGTCAGTGCTTCTCGTTAGTTCATTAATGAAGTGTTCACAACTGATTATAATGACGAAAATAAAGTGACCAAATATTTTAAAACTACCAAATCCTAAGTAAAACGATTATTAGCAAACCTATTTTTGTATGCCCCAAAGCTTATACGTGAAAACAAGAAAACACTTGCTGTGGCCATGGCCTTCAACTCGAGATTTAGACATATCGACGAGCTATTGTCAATTAGCAAATCTAACAACAAAATTCTATAATAAACTTGATGACTTTAACTTTTAATTGTCAACTTCCCTCACTTATGCACAATTTACGTTCTTCACCTGCATATGGAGCTTAATATATATATCTCAGCTGATTTGATATGCAAGAGCCTGCTCTACATATGACCAATTTCTAAACCATGTAAATTGTTAACAATAAAGTTGATGAAACGAGAATATAAGCAATGTAATCTCGTTTAAAGTCATCATTTCGTAGGTTCTATAGTCCATTCAATGACCTTGTCACCAAATACATTGGGTCAAATGTTCACTGACGTTTTTCATACTTATTGTTAGTCCACTATTTATACACTGATTTGACGATGGCTTCTTCCGTTATTTCTGATCATGACAGGAAGCACACGGCGAGTGTGACCGGTCGGCAGGGGATGTTCACTCCCCAATGGCGCCTGATTCTACTACTGATGTTTTGTAGGTCCGTGTTTACTTTGCTCCTATTTTGTATTGTTTTATGGACTTTTGGTCTTGAATACTGTTTGTTATCTCCATATGTCTCATTCAATTAATGTCTATTCTTCTTTTAAACATCAAATCATTTATGTATACCTTAACTTTTTTGAATAGAATTGGTTTCTACTCGCCCTACCGCATCAGATGCAGTATCAAGTTTATTGACTCTTGAAAAAATATCGACTGTATCGAAAAGAGATACAAAATCTTCTAGTCTGAAAACAGCCAATGAAGGTACAATTTCGGTACACTTACATTTT